AACAATTTACATATATACTATATTATTAGTTCGTGAGTATTTAGAGCTACGATATATATATTTTTAAAAAACAACTTTAACAATTCATCCTCATAATTATAAATTACCAGACTGTAAGTATTAAAGTCATAAACGCTTTTTAAAATCAAAATTCTAATTCTAAATATAATTGTTACTAGGGAGTAAGTGTTTCAGATAAAACATTTTAAAATCAAAATTCTCTTTAATTTGAAAATGAACAATCCATATGCAAATTATATTATCAGTTTGTGAGTATTTTTAACAAAATAATGATTATGGTGATAGTCATCGGGATCAGAACGTTTGTATAATGTAATTAGAACCGAATGAACAAAAGGTTACTAATATTATGGTCAGGATTAGGATTAAAATTAAAAATTACATGCAACAGAAGTTTTGGTCAGAAAACGAAGGGTGGATTCATAAGTAGACATTTAGTAGCTATATGAACTTCGCCCTATTTAGCATTAATTGAACTGTTCGATGACTTTGCCATGGTGACGGATTTTTCAACCTTTTAAAAAAACTTTTATTAATATAAATAATTTATTTTTAATTGCTAGCTTGTGAGTATTTTAAAGCCAAGCATCTGCAGAATCAATAATTCAAAATTCCAATGCAAAACTCTAAACAACATAATTGCATATCAATAGCGGGTAAGTACTTTTAAAAATAATTTTTTAAATTTTAAAAGGCAACATATTTCTAAACAAACTATCTATTATTAGCACGTGGGTATTTCAGAGTCATAAGCATTTTATCCTAAAGCGAATAAACCTTTAATTAGTCCAATATGCATACATAATAATTCCAGACTGTAAGTACTGAAAAACATAACTTTTATTGACATTTGCTAATTCAAATAATTAACAAATTTAAAATATTTTATAGTATGTAAGTATTTTATTTGGGAGCACTTAGAATCACACTTAAAAAAATTAAAATTTCCTTATTTTAAATTTATCGATAATTCTAGCCGGTGAGTATTTAGAGCTAAATCAAATTCTTTTTAATTCAAATTTAACATTATTTAATATAATTCAAATTATGCATTCTATATTTAAGAATGATGTAAGTACTGTATCATTATTACCAATAAAACTGAATAAATAAGTTAACAATTGGCATAATTTATATACGCTATTAGGGAGTATTTATGATCTCTTTAAATTAATAATTCACTTTAACTATAAAAAAATAACAAACTAAAAATTTACGCATTATATTAGAGAGTATGTATTTAGTCTCATAAATATTTTATTATCAAAATTTTCTTTAACTTAAAAGCTATAAAATATATACACATTATTAGGAAGTAAGCATTTATAATCATAATATTTTGAGTTTCGTATTTTTATTTACATAATTGAATTTAAAAATAACAATCTACTTAAATATTATTAGAGAGTGAGTATTTAATATTAAAATCGGTTTAACACAAATGGCAAGCAAACAATTCACACATATATAAAATTACAGTGGGTGAGTATATAGGTATTTAGCTTGACAATTTTTTTGAAATATAAAATAATATTATTCATATAATTACAAATCACATTATTAGCGGGTGAGTATTATTTTAAGATAGACATATTTTAAAATCATAATTCATATTAATTCAAATAAACAATTTGAAACATATATAATTATTAGTCTGTAAGTGTTTAAAGTCATAATTAAAACCAGAGAAAATTTTTTAATTCAAAATTTAATTATATAAATGTTTATTATTAGCAAGTAAGTATTTATAAATACATTTAAAATCAAATTTTAAAAGTCAAAATAGCCAGTTCTTAACAATTATATGATATTTTAGTTGGTGAGTATTTACGGTAATTAAACTTTAAGTATATAATTATCATAAATCCTAATAACATATGCATATTATTAGGAAGTGAGTATTTGAAGTTACAAATACTTTAAAAATAAATTTATTTGAAAACTTAAATATATATAAATAATATTATTAGTTAGTAAGTATTTATTGGGTTATAAATACTTCGAAAAAGTACTAACTAGAAGCAAATAATTTATTTCTAAATAATTATTTATAATAAACGCTGCATTATTAGTGAGTAAGTATTCTGTATTTAAAAATTTTTAAATTTGTAATTTGTGCTATGTATCTAAATTTGAAATAACATATTCTGCATTAATAGAAGTAAGTATTCGATGTTAACCTCTCAAAAACCTGGGGCTACAGTATATTTAACATTCAACATTTATAATTACCATAGAGTGGACAAGTAAGTATTTAAAGTAATTAAATTTTAAATTAAATTCTCTTAAATACGTATATAACTATAACCTTAAATTATTTATACATTATTAGATAAGTTATATCTTTAAATTTTTGCTAAATTTAAAGCACAAAACAAACTCTATATATCAAATATGCTGATGTAATGATATTATTAGGGAGTAAGTATTGAAAAATCATTAGCAGTCAAACTCAAAACTTAAGCAAAACTAAATCTATATATTTATATTACCAATCTATTAGAAAGTGAGTATGAATATAAACATTAAAAATTTTTATTTAAATTGGTAACTTATACATACATTGCTTTATTAGATCGTAAGAATTTGGAATTATATGCATTTTTAAAAATACTTTTAATTTAAAAAGAATAACCTTAATTATATTTAAATTATTAGCTTGTTAGTATCAATAATCTATAAAGTTAAATCTTTTAAACAAATAATATTTCTAATATAAACAAAACTAAGCCCATATTTATACTTATTAATAATTTATTAGAAAGTAAGTAAAGTTACAAATGCTTGCCTTTTTTAAAATATTTACTTATATATATATATATTTTAATAGGTCGTAAGTATTTGGAAATTAATTATAAATTGTTTTTGAATTTAAAAACTAAAAATTTTATAATAACATATATCTAAATTATTAGCTTGTTAGTATCATAATTATAAAGTTAAAATCCTCTACTAAAATAATTTTATCTAACCTACTTATATCAAATTATTAGAGAGTAGAGTATCTAAAATTAAATCTTTTATAATCAAATAAGTTTAATTCAAAAAAAATCAATTACTCAAACAACGATATCTATACACAAAATATTAGAACGTAAGTGATAATTATTTTTTAAAATTAGATTTTTGTTTATATAAACACAACATTAAACAGTATATATGTTTATTAATTATAGCTTGTAAGGAAAAAGTATAAGCTTCTATATTCAAAGTTTGAAACATATTAACTATTTTTAATTATCTATCTAAATAATCTATATTATTAGTCTGTGAGTAGTTAAATTCTTGTTGTATTTAATATTAAACTCTCTTTATAATAAAACATTATATATAAATAGAAAGTGAGTACTTAAAGCCATATATATTTAAAATTCTTGTTAATTTAAAAGCAAATAATAATTTATACGTTTTATTAGTGGGTAAGTATAAATATTTTAGTTGAAAGAAATAATTCTAAACAATTTTACATACTTATTCAAAAATTTTTAGCATGTAAGTAAAATTACAGTTTTTATTATTTAAAACATTAACATATTTCTAAATAATTAATATTTACATTACGTATTAGCGGGTAAATATTTAAATTATAATTATTTAAGTAAAACTTAAATAAATAAATTATAAAATATGTCTTTAGAGGGTATGTGTTATCATTATTATTTTTTAAAGTTGAATTATTTTTACTATAAAGAAATAATTTATATAATATTAATTTATAAAAAACCAGCCTGTAAGTATTTAGAATTAAATATTTTAAACCAATATTTTTGTTAAACCAACGTATTACTAAATGATCACTATTAATATTAAAAGAGGGTGTGTAGTGTGTATTTAGATTGTTAATATCTGAATTCTTTTAATTCAAGTGTAATAACTAAAATAATTTATGCAAAAATTATTTAGCTTGTAAGTATCTAAAAATATTAAACTCAAAGTACTTAATGAATTAAAATAACACGTTTATATTGTCATTAGTAAGTAAGTATTGAGGTTTAAAAAATTTTAAATCTAAAGTTCTTTCTACCCAAAACAACTTTAAACAATAAACTTACCTGTATCATTAGAGAGTGAGTAGATATGTTTAAACTTTTGTTAAAGTCGTATCATTTTAATAAATATAATAATGCTAATTGTACTTATAGTGGGTAAGCATTTAGAATTTTAAAAGTCTGTTCAAGAAATGATAAGAATTGCATTAAACAATTCACACAAAAATTACCAGTCTGTAAGTAGGGTTATGAGTATTTTAAAAATAAAATTTTCTTTAAAACCAATGTCTCTAACAATATCGAATATATGCAAGTTTGTAAGTATTTAAAATAATATATTTTCAAAATAAGTTTTTATTTGGAAAATAATTATAACATTTATATACAACTACCAGTCTGTAAGTATTTAAAAGCTCATTTTGACTCTAAAAACCAAATTGTTATTGTATAAATAATTATATAATGTATGATTTAATGTTAAATTATTAGGGCGTAAGTACTTAGAATCAACATTTTATTATGATTTGAAATTTGTTTTAACAATACGTATATTTAAACCACATTATTAGTTCGTGAGTAATTAGAATATTTATAAGCATCTTAAGATCAAATTCTATAAACAGATAATAGTTATTCACATATATACATGTTTTAAATTTATTAGAAAGTAAGTAATGAAACTTTGAAATTGAAAAATTTAAAGAATAGTACGATCTAAAACTAACGTGTATATAAAAAGTAATAGCAGGTGAGAATTTAGAACTACAAATGGTTGTAAAGATTCTTCTGATCCAAAAACTTCTAAATAATTAACTTATCATATTCATAATAATATTAGTGCGTGAGTATAAATATTAATGTTTTTAATCAAATTTTTGTTCGAAGTACAACACATAATACATATATTTCACGCAAAATATTAGGTTGTGAGTATATTTTAAAATCGAATTTCCTTTGGTTCCAACAATGATACAAGTTTAAACAATATATATGGCTATTTTATTAGAAGGTGAGCATTTAAGAACTAGTGTTGGGATCCGTTTGGTTAAACATCCGGATATTCGGATGACAAATTTTGGACACGGATGGTGCGTCCGGATAACAAAAGCATAGACTTTTTGATTTCCGTAATAAGAATAAAATTATTGGTCAACACATTCTACTTAGCTATTATCCAGATATCCAGATGGCCATTTTAAGCATGGATAACTATCCGGATCCCAACATTATTTAGAACAATAATGATAATATTCACTTTAACTCATAAAATAACTCTAAACATCAATCGCATATATTATTAGCACGTAAGAATCTTCAAAACCTTCAAAACAAGCTTTCATTAATTCAAAAAATAAATAACAATTTTAAACCTACTATATTATTAGTCTGTGAGTATTTACATACAAGCATCATTTTTTACAATTAAAATTAAAATCAAAATTGCAAATATCCTCATTATATTAAAGTCTTAATTCGTGAGTATTAGGTTATACTTTGCTAAATTTAAAAAGTTTTGCATTTCTAAATAATTTGCATAAAATTATTAGCTCGTGAGTATTAATAATCTTTATATCAAAAATTTTCCTCCACTTTTACTAACTAAAAATTCATATTCATCATTAGTGGAGGGTGAGTATCGTCGTCAAATAACATTCTTTTTTAATAACAATCCTAACCGATTTATATTATTATTAGAAATTTGGAAAATTTAGAGTAATACATTCAAATTAAAATTTTTTTAAATAACACAATTTGCATCAGTATTAACACTCTATTATTAGTGCGTGAGTAGGATTAAAGTTCTTGATAACTTTCCAGATCTTCAAAACAATATATTCTAATCAACTTATACATGTATACATTATAGTGTTGAGGAGTGAGTATTAGATTAAAACATTTAAAACCCAGAATTCTTTTAATTCACTAATATATTTATGTATTCTATACTAGGGTGTGAGTATTAAGGTCAAATGATTTAAAAAAATTCCTCATTTTAAATAATTATTATTTGTAAATTATCAGCCTGTGAGTATTCAAAGTTATAAACTCTTAAACAAACTTTTCATTAACTTAAAATTACACATACAAATTAACAGTCCGTAAGTATTAAGAATATTCTTTTTCTTAATCTAAACCAACAACTTTAAATAATAAACATATATTTTTGTGTTACCAGAATGTGAGTATTTAAGATGTAATTATAATCAAAGAAAGGCTTATCAAACATGTAGTCATTTAAATATTAATATATTCTACAACTAGCTTGTGAGTCAAACATTTTAAATGAACTTTTAACTCAACAACGAAATTCCAAATAACCCACATACGTATACGCATAATATTATTAGGAAGTAAGTGTTTAAAATTACTATCATTAAAGAAATTTTTCTAAACAATCTTTATAATATATGCATATTTTAGGAAGTAAGTATTTGGTGCAGTAGACTCTTTCAATAATCAAAACTTTCTTGATCCAAATAACTTATAACATGCAATTATACTATTAGCAAGTGAGTACTTTATTCAGAATCATAAACATTTAAAATCAGAACCTCACTAACATTTTAACAAAAACATTAAATATTAGCATTAGGTATTTGAGTTAAACCAATTTTTTATAGTTGTAATTTTTTTTTATTAATTCAAAACAAATAATACAAATTCTAAGGATGTAAGTATTTAAGTCATAAACATTTGTAAAGTCAATTTTTTATTAATTTAAACGAACATTTAAACAATCAACTTTCAAATTATTAGTTCGTGAGTATCTTGTCAACGTGTTCGCTACCAACTCTTTTTACTTCAGCGGTAGTAACACAGCTATAATAATTTTTATACTGCACATACACAATATGTTACCAGTCTGTGAGTATTTAAGAGTTTAAGATTGTTAAACCTCAATAATTTAACAAACAATCTAAATAATCCAACATATTATTTTATTAGGAGGTGAATTTTTAAAGCTAAATTCTCACTAATTCAAAAGCAACTAAAGATCACTTATATATAAACCATTTTTAGAGAGTTAGTATTTAAAATAATAAATATTTATTAATCGAAGTTTTGGTATGCTGATTCGGATAAACTTTTAATTTATTATTTATCATTAGGTCGTGAGTATTTAATTTCAAATGTTTAAGGCAAAAACTTCTATTTAAAAAATAAACTCAAAACAATGCGTAAAACAAAATTAAAATCAAGAATGTGAGTATTTTAGAGTAAAATAAAACTATCATAAAAAGCAAAAATAAGTTTAACCAAAACATATTAGGAAGTAAGTATTAAAATCATAACCTTTAAAGCTGAATTTCAAAATTCTAACTATATTTATCTTATTAGAAAGTAAGTATTTATAATTATAAAAGCTTTTAAGTCGAACTATGTTCAGCTCAAAAACAATAAATGTAACTGACCGATTCATAATAACTGCAAGACTGTAAGTATTTGGTCATAAACACTTTTAAATAATAATTCTTATTATTTTAAGAAGAAAATGACATAACTCAATCCATATAATTACTAGCTTGTGAGTATTTGAAACAAATCAAAATTTATTTCAAAAGCAAAATGAGATAATTATCAATAATAACATTCTATCAGGCCGTGAGTATAAAGCTACAAATGTTTTTAAAATAAAGAAAATAATATTAAATAACATTATTCAATAGGCGGTGAGTAATAAAATGAATATTTTTAATTATATAACAAATATCTAACTATTTATATATTATACACATCATATTGTTAGTTCGTAAGTATTTAAGTTGTAAATAATTTTAAATTTAATTTTATCCTAAATAAATCTGAACAATCTTATATTCCCTATATTAATAGTGAGTGAGTATTTAAAAATTATAAAGTTAGCAGTTAAGTTTTAATACAAAACCAATAATTCCTAATAATTTATATATTTACTAGTGAGTAAGCTTATCTAGTCATAAAATATTTTTAAAGTTATTTTAAACTTACAAACAATAACGGTAATATTACGGTGATATTAGGATGTGAGTGTTTATTTATTTTCAATCAATCCAAATTTTCTTTAAATCGCATACCTATTATAACCTACATATGTACTGTACATAATACTAGCATGTGAGTATTTAACTTAGACATGGATAAATTCTCTTAATCCAAATCTAAACTACATGTGAAATTCTAGAGCGTGAGTATTTTAAAGATAAAATTTCTTTTGCTTAAAATTAACAATCCTAAAATTCCACATGTATATTATTAGCAAGTAAGTATTTGAAATAAAATAAATGAAGTTACAAAAGCACATCAGTGGTATTTAACAATACTAAGTAAAAGTATTACATGCCTCTTATATATAACCCTAATCCGAAATTTGCCGTAAATTGCTGACTTGTATGATTTTGATCCAGAGATATTAGCGAGTTATAATTTCTTTTATACATGGTCAACATACAAAGTTTACTTCAAAAAAATCAGTCTTCTAAATTATCCTATAGGTAAAAACTTTTAAGATTAGCTATGAAAAGAAATAGTTATCGTAAATAGCCGAATTCACTAGTTAACAGTTTACGGTAGTATACAATTATTATAAAACATATGGGATAATTTACCATTGATGTGCAGTTGTATTATTCTAAATCAAAAATTTCTTATTATTATTAAAAAAAAAAACTAAAAAAAATCTTCACATTATGTGCATAATATTGTTAGTACGTGAGTATTGAGTTTGAAATTAGTTTAAAATCAAATCACTATTAACATTCATAATCATATTATAAAATTACTAGCCGGTTGGTATTTTTTTAAAAAACATAAACATTAGTTAATTCGCAATTCTAATCAATTTATAAAATTACAGAAACCTTAAGCGGTAAATATCTAAATAATTTTAATTAGATTTCTAATTGAAAAAAATAAAGTAACTAATATAATCATATTAGAGAGTAAGTATTTAGAATTGTAAACACTTCAAAATTGAAATTTTATTAATAATTAAATATGCATATTATAAGGGAGTGAGTATTTAGTTTACTTCAAAGATTCTTAGGTTAAATTTAAAATGAATGGCCTTAAATAATAAATATGCGCATATTAGGGCGTGAGTATTAGAGTTATAACTTTAACATAAAAAAAAAAAACTCTAAATAACGTATACATGCAAAATTACCAGTTTGTAAGTATTTAGATGTAAGCCTTTTTAAGTCAAAGTTCTCATTAATTTTAAGTATAAATAACATCATACACATAAAATGATAGTTCGTAAGTATTTGAATAATATACGCTTTTAATATTGAATTCTCTTTAAAAAACAAATTTTCAAATAATTTGTATATTATCAGTTAGTAAGTATTTAATATTTGTTAAAAAAAGCTTAGTACTAGAGCGCAATCGACTAATTAGACCGTGAACACAGAAATCAAAGTGGTATACAGTATTATATTATATAGCAAATTCTACAAAAAAATTTTTAATAGGATGCGAGAAGCATTTTCGCAGGCAATATAGAGTTCTTAAGGTCTGACTGGCCGATTGTGCTCCGGTTAACGTCACTGCTGGTGATAAATAGATTTCCTCTAATTAATAATTTCACATTTATAAAAAAAATCTACTAGTATGTAAGTATCATTTTGTTAAAAGCAGTTTTATTATTCAAAGCAAATAACACACCTTAACAACCTAAAATATCTACTAAAAAAAATGAGTAGTAAGTGAGTATTTAATTAAATAAATCTTAATCCAGAATTTCATTTTAATCAATTCCATGTATTGTTGTATACCATTACTAGAGAGTAAGTATTTAGCAAGCAAACATTTATAAAATCAAATAATATCGATATAACTAAATAATTTACATATAATATTACTAGGAAGTAAGTATTTTTGATCGCAAATTTTCAAAAACTATTAAACAAATCATAAAAATAATATGACTCTAAACAATCTCTTTTCACAAAATTGCTAGTTTGTAAGTTCACAACCACTTTTATTTCAAAATCGGTTTAAAGACTTTTTTTAATTAATTTACAAAATTATTAGGGGGTTTGTATTTAAAGTTGTGACATTTTGAATTAAAGATTAATAGTTGAAACCCAAATAACATTACTATTGAAAAAATTATTAGAGTGTAAGTATTAATAATTATGAAATTATAATTTTGCTAATTTAACAATAATTATAAAATATCATATGCCTGAAATTACTGCATCAGTTTGTGAGTATTTAGAGTTTCGAACTTTAATAATACTGCAAAGATCTCAGCTAATTTAAAAGTAATTAATTATAATGCATTTATTAGAGGGTGGGTATTTAAAGTAATTCTCAATTCGAAAAAATAACACTACACATATACATACTATAATATCAGGGAGTAAGTATTTAGAATAATGACTCTTCGACAAATTATTAACGAATGATATAATTCTGAATAATTTGTTTATTTTTAGTGAGTAAGTATTTGTGACCATAAACATTATTAGTTTAAATTACAGTTAGACCTCTCTAAATGCATCTATAGATTAAATTTTTTAACATGCAACTAGAGAACAATAAATAAAAAAAATGCATATAAGCAAAAAAATATATATTTAAACAGAAATTTGAATATGCATTTGGAGAGGAAATCTTACTGTATTTTTGATTCAAACTCAATAATCAAAAAAATTCATGGAAATATTAGAATGTAAGTATTTTTGGTTGTGTAATGTTTTTAAAATAAAATTTCCATGCCAAATAAAAAAAATGGTTGACAATTATTAGTCGGTAAGTATTTTTTCATTAATATTTTAGATAAATAGCTTAAACAATATATATTTACATATCATTCATACTGTCAGAGAGTAAGTATCTGGAGTTATAGAATAACTTCTCATCAATTCAAGATTAACATAAGTATATATGTACAAAATTATTAGCAAAATTATTAGCCAGTAGGTATTTAAAACAGTCATTTTTGTGTAAAATTATGTCATCTTTAACTAAACCAATAATACATTCACATACATATATAAAAGTCAGTAAGTATTTAGAGTTATAAAGATTTTAATAAATTTATTTTAAATAATTAACATGTACTGTATCAACCATATGACAAGGTTGTGAGTACTTATTTAGAGTTATGGATTTTTTTTTACCGTGAAAGCAAAAATTCTTCAAAAATTTGTTAATATAAATCCAAATAATTCACATATTACAAGAAAGTAAGCAAGTCTATAAACAATTTAAAATTAAAAATTTTTAATCCAAAATAAATAAATAATTAATTGTACAAATGTTTTAGGTAAGTATTTAGAACAATAAGTTTTTTTGAATTAAAAATTCTTTTAACTTAAAAGGCAACATTAAACACATTATTAGAGAGTGAGTACTTAGGATCATAAATACTATATTGATATAATCCTCATAAATTCAAAAGTAAATAACGCATACATAATATAATTAGAGAGTAAGTATTAAAATTTTATAATAAAATTCATTAAATAACACAATTCAAATTAATTAAATTTTGTAGTCTGTAAGTGTTAGAGCTATGAAACTTTTTTTTAATTAAACTTCTTACTAAAAAGCCAATCATATGTTCCTATAAAATTATAAGTCTGTGAGTACTAAAAAGTTTATTACCAAGGTTGCTTTAATTTAAAACAATATTCTAAACTGTTCATATAATTAACGCTAGTTCGTGAGTAAACATTTTAGATTTAAATCAGTAATAAAATAACCCTAACAATTCACGTATTGTCGCTATATTATTAGGAGGTGAGCATTATTCATAATCATTTTTAAAGTCAAAATTCCTATTTAAATAATTCATATATTTATACTTTATACTTAGTCTGTAAGTATTTTAAGTCAATATATTAATCGAAATTTTTTCATCTTGATTTAAAAACAAACAATAAAACCTAAATGATGAGTACTAAATTATTAAAAATTAAAATTTCATTAATTTAAAATAATTAATTTAAATCACTAGGCCGTAAGTATTTGAAAATGCCTACTTTTAATAAGTATTAAGTATTTAATTTAAAATAAATTTTGCAACTATTTTTACAAAATTAGTTCGTGAGTATTTAGAATTAGAACATATTAATCAAAACTCATTAAGAATACTAAAATTCATACAAATACGACGTCATATTACTAGGGAGTAAGTTCGTGAAATTTTAAGCTAATATTTATTAAAATGAATAATAATTAAAGTATTTTATACACATATAAGTTCGTGAGTATTTGATGTTATGAAATATTTAAAATAATTATTGTTTAAAAATAAAAAAATAATCCAAATTCAATTACCAGTTTGTAAGTATTATTGTCATGTATTTAAACCAAGTCATTAATACAATAACAAATAACATATTTTCATATGCTAATATTGACAGTCCGTGAGTATTTAAAATCAATCAAATTTCTTTTATTGAAATAATACAATACTAAATAATCCACATATAGAAAGTGAGTATTTAGAGTTGCCACTTTTTAAACCAAAATTTTTACAAATCTAATCTACATACATATTCAAAATTTGGTATTAGAGTGTAAGTATTTAGCCATATAAATCTCTTTCAAAGCACAAAATAGTTATAACTAGTTTTTACAAAACTACAAGCCTGTGAGTATTTAAAATTCATAAAGTTATGGATATAGTTAAAATTAAATAACCTTAAATAATTCATTTATGAAACATAATTGCCAGTTTGTAAGTCAACCATCTTATAATATTAAATTGCATTTTCAAATAAATAAATAAATATTAATAAATAAATATTTAATAATTATGTAGACAACCTCTTGTTGAGTCGTGAGTATAAGACTTCAAAAATCAAATTCTTTCTAATTCAAACCAATAACATTAAATTGTCCACAATATATGTACAAAATTATTAGTCAGTAAGTATTAAAAGTAATAAGCATCTTTAAAAATTCTCTTTTAATCATATAGCTTTATTAATAAAAAATTTTACTTATCATATTCTACTATTAGTATGTAAGTATTTAAAATCATAGCAATTTTAATTTACTGTTAAATATTTCAATTTTAAACAACTAACCTGCATTTTTATTAGGTCGTAAGTATTTATAACTTTCTAAAATTAATATCCAATTCAAAAAAAAAACCAATTGATTCCACATATGCATGCGCGTTATCTTTTCAGTTCGTAAGTATTTATATAAACTGTTTATTTCAATACAATAACATAACTTCTAAAAAATATACTAATAATTACCAGCTTGTAAGTATTGATAATAAATAGTTATTATCAAAATTTTAATTTATTTATTTACTATAATTTTTTTTAAAAAAAGCAACATTCTAAAATAATTAATATTTTATATTATTAGGTCGTAAGTATTAAGTGTTATACCATTTTAAAAATATGCAATTCTAAAATTCCACAATGTATAAATTTATCAGTCGGTGAGTAATTAACGCTATAATTGCAATATTTTAAAAATAAATAATGCTGATTTATATATATATATATATGGCTTCATTTTATTAGGCCGTGAGTGTTAAAGTTCATAGGTTAAAATCATGAACAATTTATAATAACAACTCTAATAATCGCATACGTGTGCAAAATTATTAGTCTGTGAGTATTATCTTTTGATACAAACATAAATACTTCTAGGATAATTTAAAATTGACAACTTTATAATATTTGTACTCAAAATTTACAGTCGGTGAGTAAAAAGATTCTAAAATCAAATTATTAAGATACGAACTAGAAATACCATTCTAAACTATCTGCATATTTACAAAATTATTAGTCGGTGGGTATTTAATCAAATATTTTAAAGCCGAATTCACGTTAATTTAAAACATAACTAAACGATTAACATATTATATCATAAGGGAGTGAGTATTTAGTATCAATTGTTTTTGAAAATTCTTAGTAGTATTACATTTAATAAATAACATGATTTTACAAATATATAAATATAAAATCAACCAGCCTGTAAGTATTTTAAATTATAATAATCTTAACGCCAAAATAAAACCAAATAGTATTTTTAACAATTCACATATGATGACACAGTGTTACTAGTGAGTGAGTATTGAATTGTTATTCTTTAACTTAAAATGACCACTTTAACTCAAAATTCACATGTACTGTATGATAAAAACGCTAGATTGTGAGTATTTAAACTTAAATTTCTCTTTAATTCAAAATAAAAATAAAAATAAAATAAAATAAAAATTAATATTCGGCGTTCTATCTTGTTAGGCCGTGAGTATTTAGAACATAAATATTATTAAAACCTAAATTATCCTCAATTCAAATACACACGTACAAATATATATCACATAGCAAGCATCAAAATCAATTGCTTTTAAAATATTTTTTAAGCAAATTATAACTTTAAATAACTTATATATTTTACTAGGGAGTGAGTATTTAAGTAATAGATGTTTTGAAATTCAAATATTACCTTAAATTCAAAAAGCAAATAACACAACTTTTAACAATTCACACATACGTTTTAGAAAGTGAGTTATATATTACAGTTTAATTCCGATTTTGTTAATTCAAATAATATAAGGCCTAATTGTCCATTAATCCACAATAGCCGGTATTTATAACTGTTTTTAAATGAAGGTTCTTAATAATATCGCTAAGTAATATATTGTTTTTATAATAAGATTTCAAGAAGAATTTAGAAGCTGGACAAGCAACAATCATGATATTGATAAGTTTATTCAACAAATACAACTTAATGCAACAAATTTTAGTCATATTATTGAATGGATTCCTTTTGAAAGTTTTACAAATATTAAGTTTATTGCTGAAGGTGGCTTTGGCACTGTTTTCAAGGCAACATGGAATGATGGATATGTCTTTGGATTTGATAATGAAAATAACAAATGGAAGAGACAATCACAAATAACAGTTTGTTTAAAACGTCTTGAGAATTCTAAATATATAACAAAAGAATATTTAGAAGAGGTAAGAAAAGTTTTCAGTAAGCTTAATTTTGCATAAGCTTAATTTTGCATTATTTAATTCTAAATCAATGTTTATTTTAGGTTGAAAATCAACATAAATATGGCGGTAAATCAGCAATTGACATTTATGGACTAACCAAATGCCCAGACGACAATGATTATATGATAGTTATGCAATATGCAAAGCAAGGAAGTCTCCGAAAATTATTAGATAAAAAATTTTACCATCTAACATGGATGAATAAAATAGAAAACCTACTTTATATAGCTCAAGGGCTTGAAGCAATCCATGAAGCTGGATATATACATAAAGATCTCCATTCTGGAAATATAGTCAATGAAGATATTACTAGTACTTACATTACCGATTTTGGATTATGCAAGCCAGTAAACCAAGATTCAAGCTCTAAAGAAATTTATGGCGTAATTCCATATGTTGCTCCAGAGGTGTTAATTAATAAAAATAATGGATACACTCAAAAATCAGATATTTATTCTTATGGAATAATAATGTCAGAAATTTTTAATGGATATCCTCCATATTATAATCGTCCACATGATCTTGCCCTAATATTAGAAATTTGTAACAAACAAAAAAGACCTGAAATCATACACGAAACTCCTGAGCTACTTCTAGATTTAATGAACGAGTGTTTAGTTGCTGAACCTCAGAAGCGACCTAGTACTAAAGATTTAGTAGATAAGTTGAAACAATATAGACAAGACTTAACTAATGAAGATAAATTATTATATAAGCAAATTAAGGAAATTGATAACTTATCAGCTAATAATCAGCATGAATCAGGGGAGCTCAAATATGAAACACACAAAAAAGCTACTGCTAAATCTCAAAATCTTTCTAAGTTATTGAATACAGAAAATACAGGTAGCCTAATATTTTATTTTTAAAAAAACTGAACCTGAATATACTGTAATTAACGCTTTTTGGTCTTTAAATAATTAGTGCAAGCTAGTACGCAAGATAGTGGAAATTTTATTGATATAAATCTTGAAATTTAATCTTGTTGCCAATAGAGTAACTTACCTCAAAAATTTTATCGTGTAATTTTGATTTTTAAATATGTTAGCTTTTTGATCAAAACCCAAATTTATTTACAAACTTGATACTTTATTGTGTAATATCGCATTTTTATTTGGCACTGCATTAAATTATACTTTTATTCTCTTTTGTTTTTTTATTTTTATTTATTTTTATTTATATCTTTCACAGAAATAGTGATATATAAAAAAGTGCTTGAAGTTAGTACTTCAAAGCCTTTATAAATGATAAAAAGCATGAATATCTATCAAAATTTTTTGCTTTTAATAAAACACGACTGTGCTGCACTGCCATAATTAGAAATAATATGTAAAGGTTAGATTATTATTTTAGTTAAATTTATAAACTTACTATCATATTATTATACTTTTGTTATTAATAAAGCTTCATAAAGAAGATAAATATTTTTATATTTATCGCAACAATAATAAAAAATTCAAGATTATTAATGCAACTACCATAATGAGCTGGAAATATCATGAATAAGTCTGCACAGAATAGTAAATCATCAGGTCATGATTGATACTGTTATCCGGCTATGTCACGTGCCACGGCTAACCAAAAAAGGTGACCCAGCCAGAAAAGACAGAATCGTCAGAAAGGACCGAAACATAGGAAAGGTCCTTTCCGATCAAAGAGGAGAAGTAATGTGAGCCGTGAAACGCGATCCCGAAGCACGCGGAAGGTGAGCGATGGTGGCGCAGTAACAATTAAGAATTTCCTTATGTTAAGAAAATCCAGAGCTGTCGGCCAAAAAGATATGGGTCGTAGTATATCAAAAATTCACTATATATCCAACATTAACAATCATGTCTTACAAGTAAAATTTCATTCTGAAAACTTTTACTTAGAGGTCAGAAGTTAGTTATCATAGTAATTTTTGTGTTATTTTGGTCATGGACTAGGAAAACCCCCCTACGAAGGGTAGTTTCCATTTTGAGAAAACAGTGATTGAATGTTTGTATTACCTAAAATTTTGTTGTTTTTTTCTCCTGAATTTTTGATTTATTTTTAGATGCTCAATCATGTTATACAAATTTTATTATAATTTGATCACATGTTTATTATTTATTAATCTTGTCTTTAGTAATAAGATTTTTATTTATAACATGTCATTAAACAAAAATAAAGAAAATAAATTTTTTTTATCACATATTTCTTTAGAAGAACAATTATGAAGATAATGAGTTAGTACAAAAAGTTGCTAAGATTTATGGAAATTTTTTCAATTGAAAAATTGTGAATATCGAATAAGAAAAACTTATTAATATTATGACTAAGTTGGATTTAAACAATTTTTTGAATGACATATTCAATTTCATAGTTTAGATAAAAAAAAATTGGATTTAGTTTTGATGGGTTAACTTATGATGTTTAAATATAATTAAGTAAATGAAAAACATAATTTTAATTATCAATTTAATAATGATATTAAACTTTGTAAAAATATATATCTCAAGTTAATTGGAATTGAAAGTGATTATCTTACCCAAGTTAAAAAGAATTTGATAACTAAAGTATTAGTTGAATGACTATATGGCAATACAAAACAAATTTCTATTCTAAAAAATTGCACAAAAATTAATTAAATTGTATTACCTTTAGATTCAATATTTATTGGTAATTATGCTAATATTTACAGTTATCTTTCTCTAGGTCAACATTTACAAAATATATAAACAATAATTTATTTACCAACTGAGAAAGACTATACTAAAGTATATACTGATTTTATCAAATGTTTTATTTTTTTCTGAAAAACCATTCGATAAAATTAGCTATAAAAGTTTTGTTCATATTTGGAAAGAGTTATTACTGCATATAAAATTTATAATGCCTGATACAGATTTATGTGAAACATGTAAAATGTTATAGGCTAAAATTTGAAATACAAATTATGATGAAAAAAAAGAATTAATTCAAAAAAGATTAGATGATCAAAAACAAATAGCAAAAATAGAACAAGGATATTATTATAACAATATTTTAACAAGTATAATATTACCTGATACAGCATATGTATTTATGATTAGTTACAAAATGTTTCTGTGCCTTATTCTTCTCAACAAATTAGTACAATTTATTTTAAATTAGTGCTTCAGGCTCATATTTTAGGTATTTATAATATTGGACAAAATCTATCTTAATAATTAAATTATATAATTGCTAAAATTGAATTTTCCCAAAGAATAGATAAAGGAGCAAATATGACAATTAGTCTTGTTTATAATGAATTGCAATGATTTTATAATCATGAAAAACATTTAAAAGTAATCTGTGATAATTGCTTAGTATAGAATAAAAATAATCTCTTATTATACTTTTGGTACTGGCTTATATTAGTTGAAATTTATGATATGATTGAGGTAAATTTTATAGTAACTGAATATATAAAATTTATATATAATGGATACTTTAGTAATATTAAAACATTTTTTTGAAAAACAATTATTAACATAGTTAATAATATTCAAAAAGTAATTGATAAGTTAACAAAAAATAGTGCCAACAAAGGAATATACTATAATAATAGTAAAGAATGGGCTTATTATGATTTTTTTAAATTTTTAAAATCACATTTTAAAGAACTATCTGGAATTTTAAAATATAATCATTTTTTATTTACTTCTAAACATCCAAAAAAGATATTATAATAAATAGAAAAACACAGAACCTATAGTATATTTAATATTCTAAAAAATAAATTTGATGTTAATAAAACTCTTAATAAAATTTTATTTAAAACTTTATCAAAGAAATGTTAGAAATATCTTTATTATAAAATAAGAAAATATGTAGATATAAAATTTCAAGATATAACTTGTTCAAAGCCATCATAAATTTAATAAATAAATTTTTAAAAAGTTAAATATTTAAAAAGTTAATTTTTAAAAAATTTTTTTATTTTTTTTATTTATATAATATCAAGTAGGAAAAATAATACTAAATGAGTATATCAATTGGATATAAATATATAAGTAAAAATTATTCCTAAACTATACTATTGTTACTATATATTAATGACATCTAGTGTAATATTATCCTTTAGTTATCTGTATTAGTTAAATCAACTATTGTAATTATTAACTATAGGAAAGGGTAAAAGGAGCTCTTGAGATTATTTAAATTAATAAAAACAGTTATATATAGTGAAATTTTGAGTAAGAGTTTTAATAATGAAAGGATCTATATTAGTATCAAATATAAAGCTAGTGTTAGAAGAGTTTAAAGATTATAAAATAGGTAATTGAGTGTTGTTTTTCTTTTTTGTTAAGGCAGTAATTCTTTATGCTAATTCTCATTTATGTTGTTTAGTATTTCAGGTTTGCCAGATAATGGAATTAAACCAGCTGAGTAGAGAGTTAGATAGGTGAATAAGGAAATTGTTGGTTAGTTTTTTTAGACTAGGTTTTAGTTGTTCATATTGATTGAGAGTTATTGTTCTCTGAATAAATAAGAGTATTGTATTATATATAGTAGAGTTAGAGAGAGGATTTTGTAGATTTAAAATTAGTATTATTGTATACAGTAAGGTTTCTGTAAGATTTAATGAGTTTAATGTGTTAGAAATTTGGTTGATAAGAGTGTTTTGTGGGTTATAAAAGTGGAGTGAACATTGTAAGAGATGTGTGATATTTTTATGTTAATTGCAAATTAAACAATTTAAGGTTAAGTAAAGAAGAGAGTAGCAAGTATTTAAGTTTGACATTGTTAATAAGTTATTAAAAAGTATTTTATATCTAATAGAATATAGTTTAGAATTTGAGTTTTGGAATTTGATAATTTTTGTAAGAAGTTGGATGTTTATTGTTAGGAGATTTTATAATGGTTTAAGTTGTAGAAGTTTGTTGAATGTTTGAATAGAAAGTAAGTTTTTACAGAATTTTCATAGTTTGTATGTAATTGGTATTTCTTTCC